TATTTGACTCACATCTGCGTCCATCGGAATGTGGGAACCCATGGAATCATTCTGGATTTGAATATGCTGAAGTTATGAATGTTCCTTCCTTAGGACAACCTCAGAACAGTGACAAAAAGGGTATGTAGATTTGTATGTTGAGTAAGATGGAAAGATGGGCAGGATCAACTGTCATCTATCCATTTTTGATAGCAGAACTTGAACTTAGGACCCCATTGGTGGGAAGCTCTGTGTCTGGAAAAACTCAAGAACCTTTGGAAGGTGACAAGATTTAATTTCTTGTTTTGATGGTTGACTTCAATCAAAATGCTGCTTTTCTATAGCTTGATTTTGGTTCTTTGGTAGTATTGAACCGTTATCCGTTCCAGAAAAACATTCAAGTCAACAATGATGAGCAAATGAACCTTGAAAAGCTATGTGATGTTCAAGACCAATCTAATTTGCAACCAAGGGTTCCTGCAAGAAAAAGAAAATCCAGGACAGAAGAAACTGAACAAAAGGGTAAGCAGACAGGATTCCTTATTCAATTGCTGAAATTAATAGGAGTCTATTGGTCAACCTCATTCCAAAAACAACCCTCTAGAGTCAAAATTAGAATCCAATTTTCATCATATTGGAAAGTTTCAATGTAAGCCCAGTTTGACTGACTTGAACAAATAAAACTCTAAAAAAAACTCAAGAAGGGGATAGGAAATTCTGACACCAAAAAAACAACCTAAATCATGGAAATGAGAAACTTTTGGCAGATAAAATTCAAACCAGTCTCAATAATAAAGAACTTTTTGATAAGTTATTCTGCTGCTTGGAAAATGCACGTTTCCAATCTGTCAAACATCCACTTCAACAAGCATTCATCAGCAAATTTTCAAAAAAGTATGAAGATCTTAAGATTAAGAGCATTAGTAAAAAACAGACTTCAAGTTCAACTTGCAACAATTTTCGGGATCTTCCAGTTGTGAAATGTAGCAACATTGTTCGTATTCTTGATAAACCAACTGGGAATTTGATTGGAAAAAGGATATTCCTTCTTAGAATGAAACACTTGATCAATTGGCTTCTTTTCATCCAAACATCTAACCAGATAAATTTCTCGCCAACTCTGAATCAAATGGAAGAAATGGCTTCAAATATTGAATTAGTTAATTGGTTATTCAAAGAAACATTCTTCCCTGATTCCAGTCTCCCTGTTTTGGGAATTATACAAGAAGAAAATCACTTCATGGATGAAAGTGCATTCCAAGAGATTCAAATGATATTAATTCAATATCTATCCAAAAATCACCCTAAGGAGGCAGTGGTCTCTATTTCATGCTCCTTGATACTTCTCTGGTATAAAAAGAATACTTCTGTGATATCAAATGTCTCAGCATCATACGGTGAGGAAATGTATATCTTCCTCATTGAAAATATGATATCAAAAATAACTGAATCAAAAGCAAAATATCAGAAACAGTTTAGATTGATAATTCCAGAAACAATTGAAAAATTTCCTCTTCTTCAACAGGAAAGCTGCCCAAAACATCTCATTCCACAGAAGTATGTTGAATCAATGGAAGAATTTGAGGAAGATAGCAGAGATATAATCCAAATAATTAAAAACCTGTATATAAGAATCAAACCAGAGACTTACACCATGCATTTTGAATCTATCCCAGTGTATCTGGTCTTTGATAAGAAACAGGAAAATTCTGTTTTAGACAATGGATCAATAAAAATCTCTCATAGATACAGAGAAAAGATAAAACCTTCAGGCATTTCAATAAGAGCCAAGTCGCTCCTCTCATACTTGCTCCTCTGTCAAAGTTGCTTGATAGAAGATATTTCACCCAAATTGAAAGTTGAAAAGCAAATTTCATTTGAGGAAGCAAAGAATCATTTGTTAAATTGGGTTTATCAAGTTTTATTTTTACCAGAGAAGGGCCTTCCCATTTTTGGAACAGTCGGAACAGTAGATATGCCACTTGACATATCAAAGTTTGGGGACATTCAAGTTATCTTAATCTACTACTTCAGTGAATCCAGATCATATTATATGCTACCAAGTATTTGCATTGCTTTGCTTGGCATCTGGTTCAAGATTCACTATCCAGAACACTGGAGTGGCCTTTTTGCAGATGAAAACTTATTTTCAAAATTTATGATTCACTCATTGAACAAAAATACAAATAAATTCAGTTATTTCAGATTAGACAGGAATTAGGGAAAATATCTTTTGGATCAGTACTTCTAAGTCCAAAACTCAAATTTAAAGGTAGAAAAAGGAAAAAGATTTGGACTTCCATTATTTTTTCTTTTTTGTTTCTACATGGTTTCAGTTAAACTTTTTATCTATTTTTGATACATAAACTGGAAAATACACTTCATCTTCATCCCTGTCACAGACATCTATATTAAAATTCTGATCAATTGTTGAGAAATATGAGACCAGCCCTGCTTCCAAACCTGGTCCTGATTTTGTTGAGCTTCTGAACCAACCCGCATCCCAACTTCTGGGAGCTATCAATACTATATTGCTGCAGACCATTAAGGTGGCATATGGCCTGTTTGCACTTTATATATATGACATTGTTGGATCTGACTTCATTGTTTTCTGGCTCTCTTGAGGTATCTTCAGGAGGGAATGAAGTTGTATGATGTATGGACTAGCTAAGCCCATCCTAAAGGACTAGAGAGTCGACCAATGGCTGGATTTTGACTGTCCTCAAAGGAAGAGCTTGATGAATTGTGAACCAACTCAGACTCAGTCCATCTTTTCAGAATGGGAAACCAACTGATAAGGAATAAAACTTTCTCACAACCCGGTATGCCTTAGACTGACCCCAGCTTTTGCATTCTGATCTATTCTGACGTTAGTCAGGTACTCTGTTCGAATAGCATGCCTCAATTCACCGTCACGACAAGCTCGACCGGCCGGCTCAGGTGCTGGTGGGAAATATGTATTCCTCCTGATCTATGAACTATGAATGTTCTTGCAGAGGCCGGGATCCAAGGGACGGGCGGGTAATCGGCCACCTTTGAAGCCATCGGCGCTGAAAGCTCTATCGATCCTATACGCGGCAAGTCGGTCGCAGAGGATGTACTGAAGTACGGACCGAGTTTTGTTACAGCGACATAGTGTACTGACTTAACATGAATAGGTTCTCCCCGGACGCTCAAGGACCGTCTCGCCGATAGAGGACAGGAGGATGGCGAATTGGAGCCAGATCGTCGGCTTCCAAGTTCGGAAAATCGACCTCCAACAGTTCATTCAAGACGAGCTCAAGCACATCAAGACGGCCTCATGAGTCATATGAAGATCAAGTCAAGCAGCTTAAACAGACTATTCAGTTCATCGGCCAGTCTGGCTCGCTTTTCTACCCAAGACCTTCCCATTAATCCTCCGGTCCTCAACCAAGCTCCTGAAGTTAAAGGGTCACCGCTTCCTGCGGCTGCTGCTATGTCAAATTCTCCTGCTCCTGCTCCTCTTAATCCACCTCAACTCACCCCAAATCCGCCACAAGTCGATTAAAAACGGGGCATCTTGGCGAGTTGGAAATAAACCTGTCAAACCCAGATCGGTCGACATTACTTCGGACGAATCGTCAGTTTCAAATCCTCTCACTCCATCTTACACATCTTCTGTCTCTGCTTTTGCTTGTTTGTGTTAATGTTTCTCTTGGTTTGGTTAGCAAGGCCGACTGATAAGAAGGCAAGAAAAAAGCCCTCTTTTTGAACATCTTGCTTGTAAATACATAGATTCTTGCCTATGTGCTTTGTGTGTGGTCTTGTGCGTGTTGACGTGAAAAGAGAAAAAAAAAGCAAAAAATCAGACAATGAACGTACATTTGTTTAAGGTTCTGTGCTGAGCCGGGACTTCGATTGCAGTGGAGCTGGGAGGGTCCGGATGAAGGCAGTACCTTGAAGACACTGTTTCCGGGATAAAAACTTTCATTCTCCCTTCATCTAGCGATCATCATCTCAACAGGAATAGCAATCATTCCAACTTCCGGTCTGATGTTCCAAAACCGATTTGGGAAGCCGGAAAAACAATGATATCACACCCTCATCGCCTTGTAAAAAGAAGACTTTAACGAGAAAAAGCTGTGGAATAAAAAAAGTGTTCGCGACAACGGCAGGATTTGAACCTACGCGGGAAAATCCCAATTGATATTAGACAATAGCCTTAGAACCTTATTCTAGTCAATCGTCTTAACCGCTCGGCCACGTTGTCGATGAAAGGGAGGCTCGATGTAAGGATAGATTGTTTGGCATCAGGCAAGAAAGCAGGATAAAAGACCAAAAAGTTAATCCCAAAAAGCTAAGAAAATGGGCTGGTATTGTAAGAGAAGACAGATATGCTGGTATTGTAGGAGAAGACAGATATGGCACAGTTTCTCTCAGATTTCTTCTTGAGAGCCAGCCAGGAACATTCTAGTCACAAAACAAAGTGAAAATGTTTGTGAATATATGGAAACAATGGACTAAACTTTCAAGAAAAAATGACAAGTATGAGCTTGCTGGCTTATTGGATTTTAATTTTAAGGGGAAATCCTTACAGAAGGAAACTATTAGTATTTGAAATTAATAGATACAACAAAGAACAAGATTGATATAATCACACAAGGGGCACATTGAGCAAGGATTCATAGATTTTATCAACTTTGATCTGGCTTGTATGAGTTTGAACAGAAAGGATAATTTATTAGTAGAGTTGAGATTGCCACATTTTTTATGGTTGCACGTCCAGGAACACCTGCCAATCTACCAAAGCATAGCACCTTTGACTCGTATCACCCCAGAAAGCTGGGTGCCATCAAGAAAGCTCTTAACTTGTGTTGGATTTGGACTTGACATTGGCCAGATACATAAATGCCCAAAGCTCAAACCACTCTCATAGACACCATCCTCCAATCCTCCAGTAGGGGGTCTTTGAGTAGATTCAATCAAAATCCTATTTCAGATTCTGAACTGGAGACACTGGTATGCCCCAGTGTTTTCCCCCCATGTGATTGATGACTGTGCTCTGCTCCAACACAGGCTCAAACTGTCTCTGGACTATTGCATACACAGTGTCAGCTGTTGATCTCGCGTAGAGATCAAGCTGGACAAGGATGAGAGTAATAATAATATATTACTGTTAAAGATAAGACTAGATACAATGAGATAAAAGGAAAAGGAGGAGAAAAGGAGTATTCCTTTTTGTTATTTGTTTATTTGAAGTTTCTTATATTCTTGGAGAATATTTATAGCCGGTAAAGAAACACCTAGGCCTCTATCCCTAAAGGTAGGGACAGGATCAATCAAATATAATGATTGTGATGATTTTTTATCCAGTCAATAGACATGGAAGGGTTATTAAAATCAAACCCAATCATTCATTTAATTTTATATAGTTTATTCAATTTTTTGATGTTTATAAATTAGGATTAATTTTTAGAGGATCCAAAGCGATATCTCAAATGAGGAAGAGTAGCAGTTTTGGAAATAGCGGTTAAGGTTGATCTAGGGATAGTAAGAATAAAACAAGAGTCAATCAAAATTACTTATCTCAAAATTAATTATATACACTTAATGGTAAAGAGATTAGATAGAATAAGACAATCTGAAAAGGTTATATTCAGATGAGTTATACTAAGTAATTACCTTTATTTTTTGGTGTCTCAAAAGTAATTATGAGAGGTAAGAAGATTTTTATTTCTGAGGAGGGAGGAAGGACTGTTCCGGTTTCTGGGGTTGATTATTTTGTACCAGTCCTTCTTCCAAAGCTTGGTATTGTTTGCATTGCCTTGATTTGATCATCTTGCAAGGCTGAAGTCATCTTTTTGAAGATTGCTTTTAATATTCAAAGGATTTGGTGTTTTTTGATTAATCTTAATTTCAAGAGATCACATATCTGTGAAACCTCTAACATGTAAGTGAAATCTTCATTAATTTCAATATTATTATTTTTTCCATTTGTTTTAAATGTTTTGTGAAACCTTTAGGACATGTCAACATGTCTCTAAGGTTGACACACAGTTATTACACTTATGGTATTCAAAGTTGAATTTCATAAAATCATAACCGCATAAATCATAAGATCATAAAACCTTGTTTGCAGGGGATCTTGGTAATCTGATTATGTAAGCTTTGGCTTTCCCAGCCAAAATGTTTTATGATTATATGATTTATGCACTCTATGATTTCATGCATTTCAACTTTGAATACCATAACTGAGAGAGGATGTGGGAATTGTAGGATATCAGAGCCAAAAACTGATCCTAAATAGTAAGAGTAAACATTGTAAATCCATAAAAAAATAACTCCGATCAGATGTGGCACAAGAATTCATGGAAAGGCAAAAGTTATACTACAGCCCTGGCCAAAGTCATCTCAGAAGTTCAGGTACCTGAGTGCATGCACAAGTGGAGGGAACACTTTTATGTGTTCCACCCTGCAGCACTGTCAAACCTATTCATCATTCATTAGGGAGGTTCACAATTGAGTTTTTTTACATTTTAGATCCCATTTCAAGGTATTTATTGACAAATTTTTGAAACATTTGAAAGTGCGGATGATTTTTCACAAAACCCAATTATCTTGAATCTTGTTGATAAAGGCCTTGAAATTAGCATTTAAATTTCCTAAATTCAGAAGATAATCTTAACAGACACAACTTCAGAGCCGGATTAGTAAAAGTTGTGGATAAACCTGAGGAGGCTGAGGACTGACATCAGGGGTTTCAAAATCAATCAAAACATATTTGGATGTGTGACAAATGACTGAAACATTTATTTTGGAGTGGGAATTAACCCTGTACACTTTTAATATCAATAAAGAAGCAAGAACTGAGAAAATTTCAAGAAAATGCTGCCAGTTGACATTCAGAAACTGTCTTGAAAGTAGGGCAGTTACTCAGGTGTTACTGATTCTGAATCAACACTTGAGTCATACTTGAATGCACAGTTATTGTTCACATTACACAGAAAATGTATAGATATATTTGAATTTTGATTATTTTCAGTATCACATAAGTTAAGTTGGGAGGAAACCAGCTCTTGGGGATATGTTCACATGTCAACTGAAACCAGTTTGGTGAAATTGTCTCATATTGAGGAGTTGTCAGATTTTCCACATGGGGAAAGGGTGATTACACAAAAAAGATGGCATAAGATAGGTGGTGTGTTTTGGGTTAGTATATTGAATTTGATGAAAGGTGGTTATTCTTGAAGAAAATTACAGCTTTTGGTGTTTATCATCTTCAGCTGGTATCAGGTGAAAGGTCAGGTTTTGGTACAGATAAAGGGATAGAAAGTGTTAGAACTGTGTTATATTGAAAATTATGGGCTTACATGATGAGTGATGAGGCAAGGCTGGGAGGCATTCCTCATGGATATCAAGAATGGTACAGTGTTGTTGGGTGGGACTCATCCAAAAGATAGTGTGGGTGCTACTACCTACCCCTTTTTTTGGTGGGCACCAAACATGCCCAAAAAAGGTTTTTTTTTGGCTGAACACCACTTTTTGGTGGTGTGTGTGAATGCACCATGGAGGACGGGTGTGTTTTTAAATACTCAAGAATTTTCTCTTGTGAGCTTGCTAACTTACTAAGTCACTCTTGATCTGCTTTTCAGGAATTAGCTTAAAAAGATGAGCTAAGTGCTACAAGACAACTGAGCATATCAGCTTTGAACTTGCTACAGGCTGTCAGATTTTTATGACCCATAAAAAAAGCCTACAAATTATTAATTGGGTGGATTACACACCCCCATTGCTCCTTTAAGAATTTATGGGGTTTACAAATCTTTATTTTTGAAAATCTCAATATGATAATGAATGGAGGGATGGATTCTTGGAATTTACACAAATATGACAGAACCTTTCCTATAAAATTGAATATCCTTCATCCTAATTACTCTACTTGATCTGCTTCTAAATTTTTTGAATTGATTGCATAAATTGATATGTGTCTAAAGTTTATGAATTGATCTGCTTATAAATTTTATACCCCAATGGCAAATGCCACCACAAAAAACTCTTCACTCTCAAATCTTAATGCTTTTTGTAAATTTTGTATCATTTTTTATACCATTTTCCCAACTCATGATTTCAAGTTGGTGGGTTGAGGTTGTGTAATCCAAACAAACCAGCAGCCATAAACAACTGGGAGCTGAATGTACTTGATGCCCAAGAAGGCTACCTCACTTTGCCTGCATTATCTTATGTTATCTTATCTGCAAGAAGCTCTTGACCACAACCTAGTGGTGCAAAGTGAATTCATCCCAATATCTAAGCCTTCAAGCAAAATATAAATTTTTGGATGTGATCTTCTGTTCTTTCCCTGTGTGTTGATCTGCTTTTTGTATCATTTTTTTCTGTGTTTTCTGTTTTCTGTGGTATTTATGCAAAAGATCTGCTTCTGCCAGCTAGACCTACATGGTATCCTGCTTGTCTAGAGGAATCAATCATGACAGGTAAGTAGTATAACCACTTATAAGGTTTTCTGTGCTGTGAGGAAGCACTTTGTCCATCAGTGGATGCGGACTCCTTCCCAATCAATAGGCACTGTCTGCTTTTTGGAAAAGGTTCTACCCCAGCCAGAACAAACTGTGTCTGCTTGTTAATGGGGGTTTCCTCTCAATCCTAAATATAAGACACTGTGTCAACTTGTCAGATGGGCTTCTGTCCCAACAGCAGGCACTGAGGAGGATCCTTCCTCATCCAGGAGACAAAGCTACTTGATGCAAAGAATCTCCATGGTCAGATTTTGCTTGCTGGCTGTGTTGATTGTCACCAGCAAGTAAGTGTCTAGAATTTATTGTTTCTCACTTTCTGTGAAGGTTTTTTCAAGGCAACCAGTTGTCAAGAAGATTTCTTCCTGACAGGTAGGTGTTGTGCCTACTCAAAGCATTTAGTGATAGGTTTGCACACAAAATCATGTTTTTTTTTTCTTCATGAAAGCTCTTGCTTGTGGTCCCTTTCATTAGTTTGTTGGTTACATTCAAAATCAAGTTCACCTAACAATGAAATCCAAATAAATGGCAAGAGGAAAGACAACAAGAGAGAAAAGGGTAAAAAATTCCAACTGATTTGACAACTAGAGTTTCTGTGCGTGATTGGGAATATTGCTGGATGAAAGATATTCAAGATAGGAATGCAGAGTACACAGATTATATAGAATTTTACAGTTTGCACAGATGACATCAAAACCAAATAAAACCTAAAAAACCAAGATGATGACTGATCAAGCCAAAACTATGCAAATGTGTTTGTAAATCAAATTAAGATCAATGTCAAGGCTTGGGGGTCTGGAGGTCATCTTCAGATCAATACTTTGAGTTTTTTTTATGAATTAGGTAGCATCTGGAAGTAATTGGAAGGCACAATTCCAGATTCGCCTGTCGTCCGTCTTGCTTGCCACCATTTACCTGAATGTATGAATGAATCGAGTCAGCTAGGCTGTTGAAATTACGGAATTATTTAAATGGCGAAGTAGCGTACCACTGTGATTCAAGATCTCCAATATTTCACCTTTTTCAAAGCCGATCTCATTGGGATCGGTGGGTGAAGCTTTATCTGTAAACGGAAGATTGTTTTTTTGTGGATGAAGATGTTTTTAGTCGGGTGATAGCAACGCAGCAATCTAAGACGATTTCTACAGTTATTTTCATACTGCTTACATGTATACAACGCTTTGGCCTTCTTAATCAACTCGACTGGCTTGGACGAGACAGGCGATGATGGAGTCATGCTCTCGGTATTTGTCACACTTCTGAGTTCCTCTTGTCGATAAGCCTGACTCAAAAGTGTTCTATCAATGAGTGGGATGGTTGAGAAGTCCGTCAAAGCTGGAAGAAATGACCCTGGGTCCCGAGACTCGGAAGCCTCTGGGTATTGTTGAATGTTGGTTTGGTGGATATTTGATGACGGTTCCACACGCGTTGAATGGAAGTTGGACTGTTGGTGTTGGGCTGACTGGTTATTGATCTGTTCATGAGGCCGTGTATAGGAATTTAGATCCTGAAATTGCACGCTTGGTTGGTTGTACTGCGAGATGTGCTGCATTTGAGACGATGGATTAACATTGCTGGTCGTGGGGTTTCCATGCTGCTGGTTTGGTAACATTCTATCAGGGTCATGATCGCCGTAGCCCTCTGGTAGGTATGGTTGATTCGAGGATAACAGGGCAGAAGTCACGTCGTTCGCAAGCTTTTCATTGTGTAAATTGGCACCCGACTCCGCTCCTTGATTCGGCCCCAATGTAATCAAATGAGATCCAGCATAATGTCCCGCAGACTCAGATGCAATGTTTGGTAGATTGGGACTGGAGTATGAAGCAGAGCGACGGAGATTGATGCTGGAACGGATGAGTTGTTTTCGCTGGGAGCTTGGATTCAGCAACTTCAAAAGCCGTGATTGATCTGGTGATGTGAAATAAAGTAGCCATGCCAGCTGCGATTGGCCGGAGTTTAGAGGGAAAGGAATTGTGAGCGATTCATCCAGGTATTTTTTCGTTCTTAATAGGATCTGGTATGAAAGAAAGAAAGATTTGGACTCACGTTGAGGCTGGACAATATCATCCATCCATACCCATATAAATTTAATGCAATGTCATGATGGTCGTGAATAGCCGAATTGCTGCATAGAACTCCTATAACGACATTAAGAGCCACCAATGTTGCGAGCTGCCCACGATCTTGGTACTCTGACTCACAACCCACGCTGCTGAGGACTCGATAAACAATAAAGAGCTGGTAAAATACTCCAAACCAGCCAATCCCAATCGGCGTACCTGTTGGCTTAACACCGTCTGAGCCACGAGATGAATGATAACGAGATTCGGCCAGGCATTGGGCAATGAATGTGAGGGACCAAGTGAGGAGCTGCGAGATTGCAGTCACTAAGAAAAACGGTGGCCGAGACTTCAGAAGGTTTCCGATCAAAGTGGCTTCAGCTCGACGACCATGAAAACAAGCCAGATGGGGAGATTACAAACATCAAAGACAGCCGAAAGGCGTGAGGGTCCGCGAAGCTTCCCGACATAGTCACCAGCTCGCGGAACAAGCGACCTGGCGTGGTAGGAAATAAATATCGATCGGTTTAATGTTGAGCTGAGCACCGTAGGATGTTCGACTAGTTCCTTGACCCCGCGGACCGATGTGACCCGATGGAATTAAAATTTTTGGCACCTATCAAGTTAGATTTGGCGATCAATTCAGCTACACTTGGAATTGATGAACCTTCGGAAGCTGCCAATTGCAATTCACCAGCGTATCAACAAAGGTCAGTTCTATATGATCTGTTTCCATGACACACTTGGAGGGATTTGATACATCATGATAAATTGCACTTGCCAGCGAAATCAAGAAGCCAATCCTGCGCGTTGCTATTGTGGACGGTACAGACGGGGTTGAACAAGTTGAAGAGGATAGTTTCACCCGGCGAAGGAAGTCGCTCTCAATATCTGGATAGGTTCGAGTGAATGGTGATGTTGTATGTAGAAGGACTGGTGTTGCGGTTGGTTGCCTGACTCAGAACTCCGCACCCCGGAACATTGATAAATCGGAGCGCGTCTGGGCAGACGCGTAGCCTCAGCCGAGTCTGTAAAGACGCGTGCGTCGGACTCGGATGTCAACATACCGATGTGCGTGTGAGCCTGCGAGCCTAGTGACACTCTGACTGGCGGACTTTCAACACTTTACAATCTTTTGATGCACTCATCGCTCCATCATTCAACTATCTAACATCTTGTACACAGGTGACTGACATCATTGTCAACTTGCCGACTTGACATCAGTCTTGAATTTGAACTGTATCCTGGTCTGAGCAAGCACAAGCTTCAAGCTTAAACAGAGAGCTCCAACTACTTTGTTTAATCAACTTTTGATGATTAATGGGGAGGGATAATTGTTGGATGAGTCCCTGGAAATTGGAAACTGGTAATTAGCACTGCTGCAAGATTGGAAAGTGCATACTTTCAAATAATGATATATTCCTACTTTCATACATCTGTGCTCTTCTGTGGTGTTTAAAATTGAATATGGAGCTGTTAGTAAAAAAAATATCAGGTAATAAAAGGCAAAATTTGCCAGGGACCTGTCAGAATACTTAAGACTCTTATTGAAAGGTCCCAGCCAAAATCACAAAGTGTGTTGTTAGGTAGTGTTAAGTAGAAATTTAGATACTCAATTTTAAACACTGTAATCATACAAGTGCTGCCTTTTTACCTTCACTTTTCTGTTCAACTTTCCCCTTGCAGTGAATCAAAAAATTACCCTCATGTGGAACTTGAAGTTTTCCTTGAGGATTCTTGTGTGTTTTGGTTGTTTCAATATCATTCCAATTATGCTAATCATTCATATTTCTTTGCTACAGACTGCATAACTTGTTTATATTTCAAAAGATACAGGGACTTTTTTTTTCTGGAAGTTGATAGATTGATTTGAAACCAATTGGTCAAAAATAAGCATGAAAATTTTAGAATGAAACACTGGGTTGAAGACAATCTAAATAAGCATAATTGAAGAAGCACATGTTGTAAACAATACAAAAAGAATTAAGTAGAAACTAAAGGTGTGTATTTAGAGACTTGGGACTGAGTGATGGGTAGAGATCTGACTCCTACTAAGTTGGCCAAGAATTGCTTGCCTATTTGCAAACAGTTATCAGAAGAGTGGCTCTGCAAGCACCCAAAATCATCATTGAGAAATTTGCATAGAAGTTTTGGACTGTTAAATTTTTGTAGATGAAAACGCGAAAGGAAAAAATTACTCTAGATGTGTGGTTAAAACCATGGGTGAAAGCAAATGAGACGCCTGGTTCCAAGATCCTGGCAACTTGTGATAGCTTCGAAGGTTGTCCGGAAGTTTGCCTTCCGAGCCCGGTGGGATATTCAAATCAAACCCCCGAGGGTAGTTAGGACCGGATTGCATGTCCGAAAGAGCATGCCGTTCAAACTCCCTCGCAGGAGCAACTTCAACATCATCATTCATCTGTGGATTGACATTGAGATCAAATTCCGGATGGGCGCTACTTTTAGGCTTCTCGCGTGTACTGAGATCGGAAGTAAGATCAGACGTCTGGGTAGCTGAATTCACGTCGCTTTGAGGCGGTGGGGAAGACAGTAATGGTGGCTGAATTCCTGAAGAAAAATACGAAGGGGAATTATCTCCAACTTTCCCGCTCATGGCAGCAGGGGCATTGAGATCGAAACCGTTGGTAATATACTTTCTATCACCTTGAGACTGTGTAGAGGTGACTGATTGTGATCGATAGTTCTGCCAAAGGCGAGAGCGTTTTCGTGTCGGATAAGAACGGTCTCTGATCCCCAATACAATATTTTTTACGATATCCGGCGAAACAGTCTTCCACTCATTTGTTTGAGTAGATCGAATTAACTCGCTTAATCTTGGTCTACGCGGACGAGCACGCTTGGACCTTCCTTGGCGTCCTCCCCAATGTATTGATCGAAATGGTGCGTCATTCTTGTTTGAAGGATAAGTTTGTTCCACTATGACATCCATGGCAGCCTTTTTAGACCTTGCTCGTCTTGTGCCCCAGTTTGATCTCGGCAAGGTCGGCTGCGTAATACCGCCTGCACAACCAAAACTATCGCGAGGTAATGAGAGAGATGGCTCTATAGGTCGGGATCCAAATAGGCACAGTCCATGTTTTATATTCACAATGCCCAAGTGACATATAATGAAAGCATGATATATGTAGAAAGGGTTTGAGAGTCCTCGAACCATGTCCAGAGTAGAAACCGGAATTAAAATGTGTGTCTTCGCGATGGCCGGTGATTGCTGCCCTGAGTGGGTACAATCAAGCAGCAATGGGTAATGAAACTATGTCACTGGGTGGGACTAGAATGCTGACACTGACTGCGATAAGATTGAGAGAGTGTGTATTTGAGCGGTCTCCAGACTGAGAATGCGAGTAGTTGGATTCCGGTTTTCCTCAGAGAGCGAAATTGCAGGCAAAAGTTGTCCTCCAATCCGTAACGCGTTTGAGCGATAATTCCGGCTTAGTTTTGCTGTATCTATGGTTGGGAGTATAGGAGGTCTAGGGCTATAGGAGGTCTAGGGCTATAGGCCGAGGGCCAGCCGCCGCTGTCAGAACCATGTGATGTGCCTGGACGAGGATCCGTTTGAAGGAAGGAAAGGGAAGGAAACATGCTGTAGGTAGAACTCAGATGGTCACAGCAACATTGGCGGGAAGAAACTTCGCAAGTTCAGCGTTAGCGGAGGTGCCGTGGTATCTGCAATCCGCGGAGTCCTTCTGCCGATCTAACCTAGGAAGGAGGTCCTTGAATAGAAGTCCCTCAGTGTCGAGGCCCCTCGGCAAAGTCACTCACCAATGACCCTTATATATGGTTGTCCGTGTGACTATCAAATCCCTATGTACGACTCACGAGTCGCTGTCTAGGACTATCTAGAGATAAATCTTTGGAGATGGACAAGGGGCAGCACATGCGCAGAGCTTTGATAAGGCTTTTCATGTGTGCATTGTTAGAAGAAAACCAGCAGAGAGTCATCCATGGATGATTGTACCTCACTATGAGTATGAAGTGGTCTGGTACAGGAAATCAACCTTGGGATTCTTCGTGGCCAGCCGTGAACATAGGCCAGCTCTAGATTTTGTCAAGCTTCTCTCAAACATGAGTAAATGTGCACTTCAACTTGCTCATGAGACACGTCCGTTGGAACCAATCACTTTTGCACCATAGAGCATCCAAATATTTTTTGATAGCAAGACGATAATTTTTATACTTCTCTTCACAATAAATTAGGCGCTGGGATATTGATTGCCCCCTTGAACAAATCAAGTTTTAAATATTTGCGTCTACAACTCTACTGAGTGTCTCTTTGCAAATCAATCATCATTTTCATTCACACATAATCTTTTTACTATAGCCGTAGTTATGCGTCAAGAATCAACTGAGCCAAAGACAAGCAGTTCCCCCCATTAAAATGTTGAGAATGCTAGTTATGGCTTTAAAAGATTAGAAAAATAAGGGCAAAACGCTCAGTCGGTTGGCCAGTCATTGCTTAATGACTGGCAACGAGCATATTCCCCCATCTCCCACTGCACAGGTTTGAATCTTAAAAGAAACACACTAGGAAAGTCTGCAGTGCTACTACTAGAGTTCAAGGCAGGACGGTCGGCGCCGCCGTTCCCTCTACCTCTATAGTGCTACAACCAACCTCACAGCAACCTCTAACTCACAGATATCACACATAGAACCCCGGGTTCAATTTTCACAGCGTTGGTCAACATGACTGCTTTTTAAGCTGGATTGTTGCATCGTCGAGGTTGGAAAAATCGGTTACATCTTGGTGTGTTGTTCGTTAGCTGTGCCCTTCCCGACAAGCCTCCCTCAGACAGTGGCCTAAGACACCCTTCAAGGGGTGTACGTGTAAGCTAAACCCTTGGGAGTAGGTTTGGTACAAAGTGAGCAATGATTCAACAATAGAATAAACTGCCCATAAAATAACACGCCAATTGGTAGTTATAATTCTGCCTATGCTATGGGCACAGCTAAAGTGTTCCAGTGTTGAGACCGAAATACAAGCTTGACCCAATCATGGTGGACAGGAAACGATGGCCTCATGTCCCACCATGAAAATTCAAAAATCACACTGCCTTCTATTCCCTTTGATTTTGTGGCGCCTTTCAATTCAATTTCTTTCCATGAGACATTATGTCTGACAAACCACATTGAAAAATTACATCTCACAAACCACATTAATCTCATTTTATGACAGCAAATATTGGGAAAATTGGATCCAGTCCTACGTCTCGCAAGCAATTTATGTGCAATTTTAAACTGTGACTGAGATTGATATGTGAATTGATTACATCCGTTGTCAGTTGATATTGTTAAAACAGATTTCACTAGACGGGCTAGACCGGGAGGTGAGAAAACCAATAACTCAACTTTTCAAAAACATCAAGGTATCAATGCAAGACTAAGCACTTAGATCCCCAGTCACCATGTCCAGATTTTTGACAAAATTTCGGTGCCTATTCAATCTATTTAAACTCATCACGCTTTCCCTGAGCTGCAGTGCAGCTCCGCCACTAGGTGGAAATACCCAGGGATTTTGGGAAGCAGATGTTGGGTTTTTTTGGAGGAAATCAAAGAACCTTTTAATCAAGAAGGATTCAGTTCTGAATTGCAAGCAGTACACCCCAATCACATACAGAACTACAATGGAGCTGATAATATTATGTGGCGATCACGTGATGGTGCTTTGGATAAAATCAAAGGGTCTTTTGGACTGGAAATAGCTGGTTCAGACCCACATTCAGTAGATATTGGAGACATAAAGCATTACAATAAAGCTGGTAGCATATTTTATTTTCCACTCTCTTGGATGCAGCAACAATATCATTCTATTAACAAAATATGTAAAACAATTCTCTTTAAAAAAGAGAATGGAAAAGAAGAATCTTAAAATGGAACCTTGGGCCTCATTGTTACCAAATTCCAGTTTAGGAACAGATAAGAGTCAGCTAATTTCATTTCTCGTCTGAAATTGGTAGAATACTTCAATTTTGCATGGCATACTAACTTTGATCCTTGTTAGTATTGAACCCAACAAAAGAACACAGGAGTTTTCAAATTAATGATGGAGGAAAAAATGAATTTCTTTCAAGCAGAAAAATTGTGTACAGATTTATGCATTTCAAAGATCTATCAAAGAAAAAGCTGAAAAGAAGGGTAAGTGGTTGCTAGGAACTACTTGGTATATGCTTAAGTTTACTGAAACATGCTGGGTTAATTTGCTATAATTTACATTTCAGATTCAAAAATTGAACCAAAATTCATACATAGAGCTCCTAATCTGGAAATAGTTCCCCCCATTTATTGGCCATCCTTTCAAAATCAATACACACACAAGACACCATTCCAACAAAACCACATGAGCCACAAAAATGGAAATTTCCTGGCATTTGAGAATAGTCATGGTATCAAATAGAAGCAAAATATTATTAAATTATTATGTATATGGAAAAGAGAATTTATGAGTTGTATGAAACATCCCCATCAGCAATTGTGTATTGAAAAACTTTTCAAAATATGTGAAGTTTTTCAGATGAAGATTAAAAGTGCAAAATTAGTTTTAGCCATTGGACGTGAAAGAATTGCAAACCTTCCAGTACTTGTGAAGCTTGGAAATCAGGCTTGGCTTCTTGATATGTCAACTGATACCTACATTCAGAGGAAACTTTTCCTTTCCAGGATGTAAAATTTAATCAAATTTATGCTTTTTATCAACACAACCAATGAGATGAGATCTTACCCAAGTTTAAGTCAGCAGGATCATGTAGATTCAAATAATGCATTAATGGATTGTTTATTCAGAGAATCATTTTTACTTGATTCAAGCATGTCTATTATGGGAATCATTGTACACGAAAATTGCTTCAAAGATGAAAGTGCCTTCCAAGATGTACAAAAGATGTTGATAGGCCATTTATCAAAAAGTGTTTAAAAGAGGAGACACTTTAAACTGCTTTATCCTTAACATTCCTTTGTTATATTAAAAATCAATTGTTTATACATTTTCTCCAAAATATCCTATGATGATTTATCATTTACATTTTTTTATTGAAAATATGATATGAAAGCAAGCTTATTGAAAGAGAAATTAAAGGAGAATATGGCATCACAGATCCCAAAATAAATCAAAGATTTTCAGCTATTCAACAAGGAAAGATTTCCACAAAATATAATTCAAAAAAACTACAGTGGCACGTGGCATTTTACCGTACAAGGTTTTGCAATGTCCAAAAGGTCAGGGCCCAAAACTTGGATTTTTTTTTTGTGATTTTTGCCTGTTTTTGGGGGGTTGAGATGTAAATCCCGTGTCACAGCTGCTGTAATTGACCTGTGAAACACACTTTAAGCTCATTTTTATGGGTTTTGGCTGACAGTCGGCCATGTGAGTATGGGATTAGGATACCTCCCTAACCCATGTTATGTACTAAGACCCCCATACACAACCTGTGTCTGAATGGTTGAGTGAAAAAAAAGTTTTTTTTTTTGGCTGGACCAAATTGTTTGCCACTTTAGATTTGGAATCTACACACCCTGTAGACTCCAAAAACACACTCATTACAAGTGCTGGACCCCCATTGGGGTTGGGGTTTAACCCTGCGCGACCAGAACAAGTTTTGCGGGCAGCCTTGTACAGTGCAATGCTGTGATCCACTGTATGCTTACTCATTTGAAGAATTTGATATAGACACATGTCATATACTCCAAATGATAGAGAGTATCTACAGATCCACTTCAAAAGAAATTTACATTTCCCACTTTGAAGACCTTCCAGTGTATCTGTTATTTGATAAAAAATATAAACAGTCACACCTCAATGGTGGATCAATCAAAATTTCCTATAGAATAAAAGAAAGGATACAGATTCCAGATATGATGCAGAAATTTGGGTCTCTTCTCTCATATTTGATTGGCTGCCA